TAGCACAGCGGTAGGGCATTTGCCTTGCACGCAGCCAGCCCGGCCGAGCTGGGTTCGATTCCTCCGCCCCTCTTGGAGAGCCTGGCAAGCTACCAAGAGTGTTCAATATGCCAAACACAGTAACAAGAAGTCTCACAATGGAGACATTACTGGGCCCGCTCGAGCAAATCAATGGACAACGGGAGGGCAGAATGGCAGAATTCCTTGAGATGAAACACTGGCCCAGCTTTCCTTATACTCTAGGCATCACTTCTCCATAAACAATCAAAACAATCTTGATTTATTCATCCATTTATTGAACAAATATTTATCAAAGCACATCATGTTTAATGTATTATGTGAGTTGCTGGGAATACAGAAAAAAGTGAAACATAGCTCACCACTCTCAAAGAGTTTGGGTCCAGGACTTGAAGGAATGTATTAACCAACTGCTAAGAACCCCATGATATTAACTATCAAAGATAAACTATAGATAACTTAAAAATGAAACAAGAACTCCTCTCCCTAATGTATACTTTTTCCTAGATTATCAGAAAAATCCTGGTTTAAAAATAAAGTTACTAATGCCTTTGCCATTACAGATGTTCTCACAACAGAAGACTTTCAAAAACACAGCTGAAAAACCAGGTCTTGTGGTGTATCTGTACAGAAATGGATATTCTGATTTGAGTTTCTTACATAGTTCTTTATTTTAGTGATTTCCCCATAATGTTTAAGTTAAATAGAAATGCATACAAGGAGAAAATACCAGCATTAGGGAGCTCAGCAATATATAACTATCCTATTTGACTTTGCATGAAATATGTATATAGGATCTCAAAATACAACTTTCAAAAGAGTAGAATTGTTATTTAAATATTTTGTAAATTGTTATTTTAATTTTTATATAAACTTACAGTCTAACTAAATTTAGTTATAAAAAGTCAAATACCTGTATTTCCAATAGCACTAGAAAACCTAAGAGCAAGGAAGTGGAAAAGTACTCTAAACTCATCAGAAAAGCCAAAGTGAAAGTGTAGTCAAGGTCAGTCACTAGTAGATTTAGCTCAAGGTCTATGATATATTACTCACTTAACCCTTGGAATAATTTCTTAACATGAATTTCATATAACAGCATTGTATTGAATAGTAGAGAGGTTTCCATTTGAAAGAATTAAAAATGAGCCTAGGTAATTAGAAAATGCATTTAAAATGTTTGATCAGTCAGTCCTAGATGAGGTGAGTCTTATTACAGTTTTGTTTGTTTTATGATAGAAATAAGAAAATTACATGGTGACAATGAAAGTAGTAGTATTTTGTTTTTTCTAATTACAATTATCACTAATTTGACATTTTATTAAAGTAATTATTCTCAAATATAAATGGTTCTAACAAAGAAATAAGTTCAAGGACATAGTTTTTATATTCAAACTCGTTAATGATATATTAATTCTACTAGAAATGTTAGCCTATAAAGGGGAATTATAATTTAATTTCAATAAAATAAGAAAGAAATTTCACATTAGAAATAAGATAGGGGTGAGGTGATTTGCAGGGAGATGTCTCGGAAAGAAAAGCTGCAGTCATTGGAGTACCTCCTGAAGCAAACACAGCAGTCAGGCCAAGCCCTTGATCTTCTGCCAGCATCTGAGGAAACTTGCCACATCTGAATCTCACATTACAGTATCTCTTAGGGTTGTTATCACTGCAAATGCTGGCAAATGTTTTTGACATAAAACAATAGGAATTCTGCTGTCATTGCTTCATTAACGAGTCATAAAGCTCTGAGGAACCCCCAGTAGAAATGTTTTCATCAAGTGCATATGAGAAAACGAAGATACACAAAAGAGACAGAAAAATATAAAAAAAAAAATGCCTGCACCATTGGATAAAACCTAAAAAGCACAAAGTAGCACACACTGACCAACATGAAAATAGTAATAATAGCAAGAATAAAGTTCAAAACAAAAATTACTAAATCTTTAAAACAAGGCTCAAAAAATTATGGAAGAAAATACTTTTATAAGTCATTACCCGTAGGATAACACTGGTTTGTTCTTTCTGCCTTGCCACAGGGAGCTTAGGTTTCTTGGGTTACTCCCATTACAGTGCTCCCATTCCTCTGTGTTTATTTGTAACCTCTTTCTTTGTGCTCTGCTTCCCCTGCTGGTTCATCACCTTTATCGCCTAATCAGATTCTGTTAACTTATAAATATTGCTTTTCTCTTCTCCTTAACTCTTTTGTATAGTTAGTTCAGAGCAATGTCCTTTTTGTATAGACACAAGAAGACAATTAATGCTATGCTTTTGTAACTTGGGTGTTAATTAACTCTGAATGATATTCACTCCTGGGCACCTGTTCTCTTGATTTAAGCCTCAGTTGCCCTTACTTCCTAGCACTCCAAAAGCAGGGTCCCGACAAGGGACTGGATGGATCCAGGGCAAGCTGTGAGCTACCCTGGCATCGAAATGGGCCTGGCCAAAGTGCCATAATGCTTAACTATAAATTAAGAGCATGGTTATGGACAAATTCTGTCATGATCCAAAAAGTAACAGCTGGATTAGGAAAGATTAATCTGGCCTGAGCTCAGTAGTCTATATCTATAGCGAGATGTCCCAGGAGAGCCACCTTACAAGTTTAATGTATCTCTTACTGTGTCCAGACAAAATAACTAATATTAAGAAGTAAAATTAAGATGTTGATTAAAATCTTAATTAAGTTATTGGACTAAGGAGAGGAGAAACACCTCTAAGTGGTATTTTGCCCTTGAGCAGAAGAAAGGCTTCCATATGCTGATTATGCTACTGGATGGGGTGTGGTGGCTACCCCCAAGGCGGGGAGTTGGTGAGAGACTAGACAGAGACCAAGGCAGTGAGTCTGAATGTGGAGAGACAAGTGGGAGAGACAGGAGGAGATGGAAATGAGGGGCAATATGAGACTAGGATGGGAAGTTTAGTGAGATTGAAACAGGTACATAAGGAGAATAGAACAAACAGCAACTGATCACCAACCGGCCTGGCCTCATTTCCTCCTTTGTCGGCCCATGGCATCGGCTGTCCTGGGTGGGGAAGTCGCCCTAGACCACTGAATGCAGATGGCAAGAGAGAGTCTCAGGGGCTTTCTACTTGCTTAATGAATACACAATTACCTAATAAACAGCTGAATATCTGGCGTTTTTCATTGTTCCTCCCTCTTTCTTTTGGAAGGAATCTTATCCCATACCCAACTAATTGATGTTGATCTGAAGTAATCCATCTTAGAAGCTAAACTTCCTCAGTATTATACTGGGTAGTGTAGGTATAGCATTTGTCCTTGGAACTATATAAAGATGAAAAAAGAGTCCACCAACAGCAACTGAAAAATAATTCTAATTGAAGATGGCCCTTTAAAATAATTGATTCTTGGGGCTGGAGCAATAGCACAGCGGGTAGGGCATTTGCCTTGCATGCAGCTGACTTGGGTTCGATCCCAGCATCCCATATGGTCCCCTGAGCACCACCAGGGATAATTCCTGAGTGCAGAGCCAGGAGTAACCCCTGTGCATCGCCGGGTGTGACCCAAAAAGCAAAAAAAAAAAAAATTGATTCTTGGATCATATTTATTCTCAAGCACCATCCTAGGTCTACCACAGAGATGATGTGAGACCCCTAAACATCAGGGTTTGTGAAAAATCTATCATCTAGGAATTACAATTTAAATTATGATTAACATTTTACATTTTTAATGAAACTGAGAATATTCAACTGTCAATGAATGTCAAACTGTCAATGAGAATATTCAACTGTCAATGGATGTCAAAAACAAAATATTCTTTTTAGAATATCTAACATATTTGATTAAAGGTGAAGATGAAAGGTTAAGTTCCAGTTATAAACCACTATTATATGTGCATATGTATGTTATATCATGTCATATTCTGAAACAAAATAAGTGTCATAAAAAGTTTATTATATGATTATGAAGCAATTTTACTTTTTTTAAACTATAATATTTTTATGTTGATGACACATTTAGCAAAATTTCCCTCGAAAATGTAATGCTTTGGGAAAATGTGCATTTTTAAGCTATACCAGCCTATCTCTTCTAGAAAAATAGAATCAAGTAGAATCCTTTACTGTGTGATATTTTCAATAAAATGTTAATACATTAATGCTACCCTAAAGTTTGCACACACACAGCAACAGGGAATGCATAAAAATAAAATTTTGATTTATTTCCAGTTATTGAGCAGAGTTTTGTGTATTTTTCTATTGAAATTATTTCAAATGCAATATATTGGATGGGAAAATCAAGTTTTACAAAGTTTATTTACATTTTAAACACAAAAATTAGTGTATATTCTAATGAGTGCATCTCTATATAATAAATGTATATTTTTAAAAGGTGTTTTGCATGTCTGCAGTGCAATATTTGAACCAACACCAGGAAAAAAATAGCCAAGAAAGGATTGATATATGACAGGATAGTGGTAGAAAAGTGGACAAAATGATAATGTTGAAGTAAGACTCTAGCTGTACATTTCATTTCTTAACAAAAATAAGTGTGCCCAGGTAAGTAAGCATGGCAAAAATGTTAGCTCTTGTTAAATCATACTGGTATACATGACATCTGTGAAATAATTTCTGAACTTTTGAGATAATGTAATTTACACCAATGACATTATTATGTCAGTTTTTTCTCAAGTAGTTTTTATATTATTTTTGCTTGTTTAGGGCCATACCTGCCTGTGTTCAAGGCTTATTCCTAGTTCTGTTCTCAGGGATCATTTCTGACAGGGCTCAGTGGATTATACATAGTATGGGAATCTAACCCTGGTCAGCTGTGTGCAAGACAAGCACCATACCAGCTATACTATCTCTCCAGTCCCTATATTTTAAGAATAAATTAAAAGTTTCTTTAAGTATAGTGTGAAGCACAATAGAGGAAATAATAGTATCACTATCAATTCAAACTCTTTCTGTGCTGAATGTCTTTAACCACTATCAATTCAAACTCTTTCTGTGCTGAATGTCTCTAACAGACATAGATGAGTGCACTGCAGGTGTGCACAACTGCAGAGGCGACCAATTGTGCATCAATTTAAGAGGATCCTTCTCCTGTCAGTGCCCTCCAGGGTATCAGAGGAGAGGAGACCAGTGTGTAGGTAAGTACAACAGTGCAGTATGTCAGCCCTGTCTTGAGCATCTTAATTTTAAATTAAGTTATTTAGGATCCATGGTACTAAAACATGAGTGATATGAGCTTTAATCAACTCGTTAGTAGCATAGCACAGATTATAAAGAGAAAAGTGAGGTCCAGTCCTGAGAGATAGCTTTTAGGGTTGGATAGGATGTCTTGAATAAATGATGCCCAGAGTTCAATTCCTGACAATATCGGACTCTTGCTTTCCCTGTGCTCATCTGCACATGCTTAAAATAATATCTGGTCTTAAATGGAATAGCTGTGTGTAATCAAAAAGAAAGAATTAATAAACACTACTCAACATTTTCCTTGTTGCAAGAGGATGCAGTGTTAGGAATGCATAGCCAAGTACAGCATGTGACTCTACTTGCAAGCTCTATTTGAGGACAGGGACTAGGTCTGGTTTATGTTGATGCTGTCTCGACAAACTGTCTTCTGTCCCTGAAGAGTGTGCTGTCAACTAGATACTCTGTATGTTTTCTCAATGAATAGAAGAACAGAGTTGTAAAGGATGACTGGTAAATAAGAAGAAAACTAAAGTATTCTGGGTTCAATCATAAGGCCCAGAACTAGGTCTGAAATTCTGTAATTGACTACCCTATTTTACATACTACCTTTTCCCAGAGATTGGTGAAAGGTCTTTATTTCCCCTTAAGAATAAATGATGGGAGCAATAATTTACCACATTCAATATTACAACACCAATCCCACCACATTACAACTTCCCACCTCCATTACCTGCTCAAGTCTTCCTCTGAGAATTCTTCTGTAATCTATACAAATATAGTCACTCTCTTCTCAATAATAGAACTTCTCATACTGTAGTAAAGAATCCATTACATAAATTTAGAGCTATCTCAGACAAGTGTTTTATTAAGAACAATTTAAAAGTTATAGCAGTACCAAATAGCTATTTTTTTAAATTGTTTTGTTTTGTTTTGTTTTATTAGTGAAACACCATGAGGTACAGTTGTAGACTTACAAGTTGTCGTGCTTGGGTTTCAGTTATACAATGATCGAGTACCCATCCCACCACCAGTGCCCACTCTCCACCCCCACCAATCCTAGTATCCCTCCCACCCCCCCATCCTCCATCCCACCCTGCCTCTGTGGCAGGGCACTCCCCTTTGTTCTGTCTCTCCTTTTGGGTGCTGTGGTCTGCAGAAGAGACATTGGGTGGCAATCATGTTCTGTCTATAGACTACTTTCAGCATGCATCTCCCATCCTGGGTGGATTTTCCCAGCACCCTTTATTTGGTGCTCCCTTTTCTATCTGAACTGCCTTTTCCCTAGCATGTGCGGCTGGCCTCTAAGCCATGGAATGAACAACCTGGTATTTATCACAGCTGTTCTTGGGTGTTAGTCTCTTATTTTGTTACTTTATGTTACCCAGGTGAATGCAATCTTTCTATATCTGTCCCTCTCTTTCTGACTCATTTCGCTTAGCATATTTTCCATGTAGTACCACTTGTATGTAAATTTCATGACTTCATTTTTTCTAACTGCTACGTAGTACTCCATTGTGTAGATGTACCAGAGTTTCTTTAACCAGTCATCTGTTCTTGGGCACTCAGATTTTTTCCATATTCTAGCTCCAAATAGCTATTTTTTAGTAATACTCTCAACTTTTTCATTTACTCATTGTAAGTGGTCCAAATAGTACTTGAACCAACAAGACTCAGTAGGTCACAATTTGGTAATACAGTGCTCCCTCTGTTCCTGTATACTTTTCTGTTATTTGCCTTATTATTCAAAATAGTAATTTTATACCTGTATTCCATACTAAATAGGGGTAGTATATACTCCCAATGGTGTTCAAGGGACTACTTCTGGCCCTGCATCAGGGAACATTCCTGGTGTGGCTCTGGGGAACATCTGTAGTGCTGAGATAGCACCCAGATCAGCCATGTACAAGACAATCACCCTACTGTCTACACTATCACCCCAGCACCAATATACTTTTAGGGTGTTATTAAATTTCTCACTTTTCCTTAATATTGGGGGTACCAGGCTGTGTGAAGTTGATAGTTAATTTTTAAAGCAGACGCTAGACCCTGGGTGACCTTAGAAGTGAAAGAGGGGAACTGTAGAGAATACAGCGGGTAGGGTGCTTGCTTTGCTTCTGGCCGATCCAGGTACCATCCGAAGCATTCCATCTGGACCCCAGAGCACCTTTAGGAGTAATACCTGAATGCAGAGCCAGGAGTAATTCCTAAGCATTTCCAGGTGTGGCTCAAAATCAATAACAAAATTAAAAATATGGAAAGAGTTTCCATTGCTACTCTGTAGTGATCTAAGTGAACCAAATCTAGAGATTAATTCCTTAAGCATCACTTTATTTTTATTTTTTTAGAGATATGATTTTATTTATACATTAAATAATTTTTCTTTTCCTAAATTTACTTTATTTTTTAGATATTTATTTATTTTTTTAAAAGCTGTTCATGATTGGGTTTCAGTCATACAATATTCCGACACCCATCTCTCCATCAGTGTAATATTCCACCAACAGTGCCCCCAGTTTTCCTCCCACTCATCCAAGCTACCCCCTTAACTCTCCTCTCTCTCTCTCTCCCTCTCTTTCTCTCTCTCTCTATTTCATTTTAGGCATTATGGTTTGCAATGCAGATGCTGAAAGATTATCAAGAATATCCCTTTTCCTACTTTCAACACTCAGTTCCTGTCCAGTGATCATTTCCAACTAATGTTTCATAATGGACTCTCCTGTATCTTAACTATTCTCTACCTCCTGCACCTAAGCATCACTTTAGATGCTATTCTGACTCTTGGTATGGGTAGAGAAAAATTCTATTCACTCAATGAAGGAATCAATAGAAAACAATAAATAGTTGTACCCTGACCCTTTAGGCATTTGTGTCAAACTGCCAGTCCTCCCCTGGGTAGTTTCCTTGATGCTGAACAGGTAGTACCACAAAGGAGGCTCGAATTCCCACTAGAGTCATTATTAGTACACAAACCACAAACTCATCAAAATGCAAAAAAACAAAAGCTTATGTTATGGCCATTATTTTCTTGTTCTCCCTGGGCATAGAGCTTAAGCCTTTTATTCTCCTCCGGGGTCTAATATTTTAAAACCTCTTGTCTAATTAATCTGATTTCTTTTTCAGACTGACACCTCTAAAACCCATAAACCATTGCCTGGTCCCCAGTAGTACCAAGTTAGCACAATATTTCATTCTCTTACATAAGCAGGTCCATGCTCTTTGCCAGAAGGAAAAAGTTATAGAATATGTCCTATGTTAAGTTATAGAATATTTCCTTCACCTGTGTCCTTCTTAGAACTTTAAGGGGACGAAATCTCAAAGGGGAAATGTTGTAAGCAGAAAGATAGGGAGCCCCTGGAAATGAGTTTTTGGTAAGTGATAAAATAGAAGTATTATAAAGGCATGAGGAATAAATCTCTTTGAGAGGCAAATCTTGCACACCCTGGGGGTGGGGAAACTGAGGCATCACTCAGAGAAAAGTGATCACCTCTTAATAGGGGAAGCGACAAGAGAATCTAGACATTAAAGGTCATGATAAGAATATAAAGGATCATCAAGAACCCAAGGCTTTCCCTATGACAGCACCCAGATTAATTTTGGCCTGAGCAGAGAACTTCAGACCAAGACAATTTAGAAAAGTTGTACATAACCTTCTAACCTTTTCCCAAAAGCCATTCTCTGTTTTTCCCATTCTGGAGAAGTCTCTGTTCTCTCTTGAACATGTATCTCTCTATTTTTCTTCTCTCCCCTCATATCTCCCCAAGTAAATTTCTTTCAATAAGACTGTTCTGTTTCACTTTTAAAACAAAAGACCAAGTCAGTAACTGTCAAAGATTCCAACTCAGATTACTGTGAGATTATTTGAACACACTGCCTCTCACACACTTTTAGTTATAAAAGTAACTGAAAAGTTCAGCATAAAAGTTTGTTTTATCTTTACTATTTGGTTATGTCACTGCTTCCTATTACATCATGCATGCATAATTTATTTGTACATGCCACATTGGAGTTGTCACAAAATGTAGGAACATGAAATACATGAATTATTAAATTTTTATTATGATTCTAAAATGTTAGTCCTACTTTATAAATTCTCAATTGAGCATTTCATTGTTGGAAATATTTATGTGAGAAGATCAGGCTGGAACACTTCATGGGTCAGAAGAGCACTCCCAAGAGACAACTTGTTTAGCATCCTTTCCTTCCACAGTGTCATTTCACTTAATTTTATGGAAACTTCAAAAGATACGCATAGCAGGGCCAGAGTGAAAGCACAGCGGGTAGCGTGTTTGTGTTGCACGCAGCCAACCCGGGTTCAATCCCCGGCATCCCATATGGTCCCCCAAGCACCGCTAGGAGTAATTCCTGAGTGTAAAGCCAGGAGTAACCTCTGACCATTTGCTGGGTATGACCCAAAAAAGAAAAAAAAATAAAATAAATTGGCTTCTAAAAAAAAAAAAAGAAGATACGCATAGCAGGAGCTACTATCCACATTTTACAAAGGGGAAAAAAAGACACCTAGATTCTGAACTTGCTATTCCACCAAGGTCACCAGTTGAGCAACAGCCCACTGTTCCTTTGCCCTGGTTTTATATTGCACCACATAATTCTGTTATTCAAAATGATCTGTTAAATCCTCAAATTGCCATTTTCATGTACATATATGAAATGTCTTAAATATTTTCTTATATTTAAATCTCATCTCACTTTAACCAGACATTTTGTTCATTTTTGTTTTATTTTGTCTTGTTGGGGGGCCATATCTGGCAATTCTGAGGGGTTACTCAGGAATTACTTCTGGCGGTGCTTGGGAAACCATTTGAGATGACGGATAGAACCTGAGGGCGCTGCATACAAGACAAGTATACTATCTGTACACTGTAGTATCTCTCCATACCAGTATTTTTTAAAACTTTTGTAATCAATATTTCATTTAACTGCATAATACAACCCAAAGTATATTTTAAATATGTTCAATTATATTTCAAATGTATTTCCCATGTCATAATGACCAAAAAAGCCAGGAAAAGAAAAGAAAAATAATTATTTTTTAAATGACTTCTTCTCTAAATAGGATTTCTAGATAAAGCTCTACTGAGAAATTGAGACAAAACTATTGCGTGGATAACCAATAATTTGTTTCTCTTTGTGTGTGTACCTAGACATAGATGAATGTTCTGTGCCTCCATATTGCCAGCAACGATGTGTGAACACACCAGGATCATTTTATTGCCAGTGTAGTCCTGGGTTTCAGTTGGCAGAAAACAACTATACCTGCATAGGTAAGCCTTGGTAACTACCATCCTAACTAACTTTTTTTTTCCTTAAAAATAAAGTATATGCCACATGCGATATTTTCTGCATTTTCTGTATTCTGTGTGATTTAGTGGAATGTTTCCCATAAGCTTTTCTGCAAAAAACTGAAAGACAATAACCAACCTATTTCTTAAAACATGCCAAGATGTGGAAAACTTTTTTAAGTTGCTGGACTTATTTCTCTTCTGTGATATATGGATAGATAGATAAATAGATGATAGATAGATAGATAGATAGATAGATAGATAGATAGATAGATAGATAGATATAGACATAGATATGCTACAGATCAATTGATATACACACCAGCTAGTCAACATGTGTGATATAAATGTAAAAGGTGCCAAAGGGGTTATTGCAAGTTCAAATCCATAAACTTTCCACTAGAATCACATCTGATTTTTACATGCTGCTTCTCTCCTTTCAGAATGCAATGTCACAGTACACAGTTTTAGAATTGGCATAACAAGGAAAGAATCTAGTGCAGGAAAAATGCCTTTTCATAATATTTTCTCTGCCGTCAAATATTGCAAAACTCTGTATGAGTCTCAAAGGCTCATGTTATAATTGTAGTGGAATTTAACAGAACCCATTTAAAAAGTAATAAATAGCACAAATAAATCTTCACTACAACATGCTGAGAGACCCTGTCAGTATGAGTGTCTTATATCAATTATTTATAGTCTTGGCTTTTTGTATTTGAACAACAATAAAAGAAAATAGTCACTGAAATATACATTTATTATAATCATTAAATTCTTTTAGAAAAAGTCATCAAACACTAACTGTCATTCATAGAAAAAAGTGGTCTTTTATAAAAAAGTATAATAGACATTTGAAGTTGTTCCAACAAATATGAAACCTACATGGATATTCTCCAATGAGCTTCTGCAGAACAAAGAATCCAGCTAGGGAATTACTTACTTATCATAAGGTAACATTAGTACAAATGAGAAAAGACATGTTTAAAAGCTGATATAAATGTATGTAACCTTTTTTTAGATATAAATGAATGTGATGCCAGCAATCCATGTGCTCAGCAATGCTACAACATTCTTGGTTCATTCATCTGTCAATGTAATCAAGGATATGAGCTAAGCAGTGATAGGATCAATTGTGAAGGTAAAATATTTTCTGAATGATTTGTAGTAAGAATTCAGTCCATGTACTTATTGTTGCCTTATATAATTATGTAACAATTTATAAAAAAATTGTTCTAGAAATTCTGTTCTAAAATCCAGTTAATTTAGTTCAATTGTAGCACTGGATTTTAAGAGATGGGAGAAAAATAATAACTGAAATATTAGAATCAGACTTGGTCTAAATGTTAGAAAGGATGCTCTGATGTCTTGCTTCTCAAAATGTGATCTGATTGCCAGCAGCAATAGCATCTCCTGGGAGTTTGTAAGAAATGTAAAATCTCTCAATCCAGTCCAGACTACTCAGTTAATTCTGCATCTAATAAAAATTCCACCTAAAGCAATAAGGGTGCATATTCAAATGAGAAAGAGTTGATTGCATGTCAAAAATATGAGAATAAGAGTCAAATGATCTGCTCTAATCACATTTCTGACATTGTGTGATATATGTACACTCTTTAAATTGCCTGGGTTCTACATTCCACATGATTAAGAGGTTCACTGCAGTTCACTATTCATAATAACCCAAATCTGGAAACAGTCCAAGTGTCCAAGAACAGATGACTGGATAAAGTATGGTATATAAACACACAATGGAATACTACTCAGTTATAAGAAAATATAAAATCATACAATTTCATGCTACATAAAAAGTTTGGGGATATAATGCTGAGTGAAGTTAGTCAAAAAGAGAGAAACAGATACAGGATGATCTCTCACACATGAGACACAGAATATAGTAAGGCCAAGGGAAACAAAACCTGAGAACTGATCTGCATAACTGAATTTACATATGGGGGAGGGAGAGCAAGGGGTGTGTGTGTGTGTGTGTGTGTGTGTGTGTGTGTGTGTGCATCATGGGAGTTTGAGACAATGGTGGAAGAAAGCCGACACTCTGGATGAGGGTGTGATATTGGAACATTGTATGCTTAAAATTCTGTCATTAGAAGTATTATTAATCATAGTGTTTCAGATAAACATTTAATGAGTGTCGTTTAGCTGGAGGAATGATTATCAAAGTCCATTGTGTATATGCAGGCTTCTGTGTTAATTTTAAAAGCATAAGACATCCTGAGGGGGATGCCATTGACTCTTGATATCCTTGACTTCCTCATGAACCCTCCTAGTTTTATCTAACTTCAAAGTTCATACTCCAAACAGGGAGACTTCCCATGATGCCACTGGGCTCAAACCAAAAGGATTGGCACTGAATAATTGCTTCTGCCCTTCCACGCAATTTATTGGGACTACACCATTGAGAAATGCATAGCATTCTTCCTATGAAAATCAAACTCAACCCAGATGTTATCTCTGGAAGCTAGATGGGGCTGATTAATGGCTAATTAAATCTCAGATTAATTTGGCAGAAGAGTCACCCAATACCTGATAAGACAAAAACAAATCTGTATTATGGGTGAGTATGCAGATCCCAACATAAAGAGTATCAACTTTAAGTAAATTTGTTCAGTCTGATCAGCAAGTATAGATAGATTCAGCAATTACCAACCTGTTGTACTAATGGAATAAAATTGAAAATAATTAAAACTCTGTGCTATGAAGTTCTAGAGCAAATGAGCTGACATTTCTGATTCAGTTTGCAATGATGTTTTCCCTCTCTAAATGCATCTAAAATAATATTTTCAAAGTAGTGATGCATATTTTCCAACTCTGTGTCCTTGCTCTTGTATGATTCAACAGACATCGATGAGTGTAGAAGCTCAAGCTACTTGTGTCAATATCAATGTGTTAATGAACCTGGGAAATTCTCTTGTATGTGCCCCCAGGGATACCAAGTGGTGAGAAGTAGAACATGTCAAGGTAAGCTTATTGTTTTCCTATCTGCTAAGTGTTCAGAAAGAATAGAGAGGAAATTAGAGGACTCTATCACACACTTCATTTTCCCTCTTAAATATACCATATGAGCTAGCTCTCTTGTCTTTAGCATAAGATATTCACATCTCACAAAGAGGATAATCAGTGTTTACAGTGGCTTTCATTAAAATTTAAAGTAATGATTTTTATTTTATAAAATATTAGCAAATTTAATTTTAAAATAGTATACATTATTTATAAATTGTATAATCCTCATCATATATATCCTCTAATCATACACTCAAAATAGATTTAATTATTACAACTTTTCATCATGAGTTTGAGTCTAAACAAAAGTTTATCATGCAGGTTAAATATATTTCAAAACAATCTTAATTCTCCAGAATGCCACTATTATAAATTAAGTAGTAGGTTAGGTGCTGAGAAAATCAGCCTCATATACTAAAATGTGCTTAAATTCTTAGGTTAAAAAATACAGTAGGAGGGGCTGGAGCAATAGCACAGCAGGTAGGGCATTTGCCTTGCACACCACTGACCCGGGTTCGATACCCAGCATTCCATATGGTCCCCTGAGCACCGCCAGGAGTAATTCCTGAGTGCAGAGCCAGGAGTAACCCCTGTGCATCCCCAGATGTGACCCAAAAAGCAAAAAAAAAAAATTTAAAAATTAAAAATAAAGTACAGTAGGAGTATCCTTGGATTCAGTTTTAAAATGAATATTCAGGTGATCTTCATAACAACACATAGGGAGAAACCAAAGCTCTCTATCCAATGTAATTTTAGAATATCTACAAAAGATCTAAAAATATACACCCACTTCTCCCTCTCTTCAATGCAATATGCAAAATAAAATCTCTTTAATAGGAGAAATTGCTCGAGCTCGAGCGGGCCCAGTAACGTCTCCATTGGAGACTTTGTTGTTACTGTGTCTGGCATATCAAATACTCTCGGTAGCTTGCCGGGCTCTCTGAGAGGGGCGTAGCACAGCGGGTAAGGCATTCGCCTTACAAGCAGCCAATAGGAGAAATACTGCTCATAAAAAGCAAAGAATATAAATAATCCTGGAAAACTGGTGCAAACACATTAATGTTGGCAAACAGAGTAAAAAAAAAATTCATGAACTTGACAGAAAATGTGTTTGAGTTCTAGCTGTACTGCATTCTATCTGTATAATCATGAGATAATTAATAAAACTGTCTAAGCCTTGGCATCTAGAAAAGGAAGTTGAGGTAAAAAATAAGATAGCTAGGGGGTATGGTGCCACCAAAAGTTAGGTATGTGGGAAAAACACCCACAAACCACCTCCGGCTCAGCTATATAATTGGAGGCAAGGCCTCTTTGGTTCCTGATTGAACTGCTTAATGGCCATGATCCCAGATACTCCGAAACGAATCTTGGAACCCAGCGGCTTTAGGTAGAAATGTGTCCGGTCTCTGCAGTAGACTACCAGTGCTGGGCCAACCCAGGTGGGAATAGGTTTTGTGCCTTGGCCTGTTCTCCCTGGCGGCCTAGTGGCCGCCATCCTTCTGAGGCCAGTGGATAGTCACATTTAGGCCCCCAGTGACGAGACACATAGGGCCTCACAGGATGGGGGTGGAGCCGGGCTTGTACTCCCCACCCCAACAAGACCCCAAGTCATCGCCCAAGTATGGCCTCTCTGGCTCCTGATCAAGCTGTTTAACGGCCATGATCCCAGAGACTCAGAAACAAATCTCAAAACCCAGTGGCTTTTGGCAGAAATGCATCCGGACCCCACAGTACATTACTGTCGCCGAGCCACCCCAGAGAGGAAAGGGTATTTTCCCTCCGCCTGCTCCCTCTTGGTGGCTTGGTGGCCGTCATCCTCCAGAGGCCATTGGACAGTCAGGCTTGGGCCCGCAGTGACGAAACTTGTTGGGCCTCACGGCATGGGGCAGGGGAGCCGGGCCTGTCCTCCCCACCCCAACGAGACCCCAAGTCATCGCCCACGAACGGCCTCTCTGGTTCCTCATCAAACTACTCAATGGCCATGATCCCAGAGACTCAGGAGCAGATCTCGAAACCCAGTGGCTTTTGGCAAAAATCCCTCCAGATTTAAGTGTTAAAATTTCAGAATTTCAAAACCACATGGCCCTACTGCAGCCACATGACATCATATGTTACTCATAACCAGCAATAGAACACAAATTGTCTATTGTTGCCTTTTCAGCATATCTGAGTGTTGGGGTAAAATCTCAAATAATAATGGTGGGTCTGGTGTCGAAATATTGAATGTGATCAAAGTAGATAGAGATAATGTGGAAATCATCTGCCCCACAGGTAGGGGGAGGGTGTGGGATGGGGGTATACTGGGGGTTTTTGGTGGTGGAGAATGGGCACTGGTGAAGGTACGGGTGTTTCATTGTATGACTGAGACTTAGACCCAAAAGTTTTGTAACTGCTCTCACGGTGATTCAATAAATAAAATTATAAAAAATGAAAAAAAAGTAAGGTGGAATTCATGCACAATTCAATCAGATAATCAGTGGCTGAATAAATATCAGTACTCCTTCAAAAGAAAAAAATAAGATAGCAAATAAGAAAATGACTAGTGAATTAGATGACCTGTACAATTCAAAATTGTTTGTGAAATTTTCCCAGCAATGTCAATAGCCAAGTAGCAAATCTTCGCTGGAGTTCTTTTTAATCAAAACTAAAATTAACTTAATTATATTAATAGATGATATATAAAGCATTGAAAGTATATTAAGAAATAAAAGAATTAGGGGTTAGAAAAATAGCACTTGCCTTGCATGTGAAAGTCCCAGTTTCAATCCCTGGTTCTGCCTATGGTCCTCTGAGAACTGCCCAGAAGAAGTCCTTGAATACCAAGAAGTTAGTCCTGAATACTGCCAGTTGTGCTCCTCAAGCCCCAAAACATAAAATATCATGGAAGGGAAACACTTGGGATACTAGTCTACATAAGAAAATATAAACTCAGAGCATCCTCTATAACCTAGGATTTTATAGTATGCTTACTCAACTAGACTACAACCTCTAAAAAGAATATAATTGATATGTTGTTTAATGCACAGTGAATGTATTCATTCTAAGTTACTAGTGACTCTGTAATGCAGATTTTGAAAAAACATTCCATTCATGTAGTTTTACTTTTAGAGTCCTAACTAACACTTTTAATGTGTTTATTACATGCAGGAAAATGTTAGTCAGTGAGATATCTTAACCGATTTTCCTGGAGTCCTTCAAACAAATGTCTGGGTTTTTTCATTTTAATGTTATCATAAGTTGACTTCACATTTAGCAAAACATATATTCAAATTAACACACAGTGTAATATTATATACCTAATCTATATATGGAAATATATATTCACATTGTAATTAAATATGAAAATTTACAGGAATAGCAAATTAAGAGGTTCGAGAGTATTGTATCTTAAAGACATAAAGCTTCAATTACAGAATAATTGGTTTCCCCCACTGAAACTATCCCTTCCAAACCTTGTCCATAGACTGCAGTAAACTGACGAGTAAATTCTTGCCTTCCTCTGAAGGCTTATTTTGGAGATAAAAACTTCTCAATCCGGTCTTGGAAAATGAAAATCTGTTTGTTTGGAGGATGGAACTGGCATCAGGGGAAGAGAGGAAAACATAAACAGAGAACACAAATATTTCGTCAAATACTTTAATATCATTAATAATTTCTAGAAAACCATCCAGAATAAATAAGAAGTTGATAGTTGATTATGCTGGGCTCTAAACAAATTTAAAGTTATATAAAATTTTCTTTTGCTATTAACCAACTATAATAAATGAGTTTTAGTTTTCTCTGTAGTAAACAGCATCTTTATTTTTTCAAAATCGCGAATACTGAAAGGACAAGTCAATTATGATTTTTCTGAGTAATCTTGTTTTTTCTTTAGCCATAATTTGTCCAAAGAGGATACTTATTGTAACTGACTCTTGGAAACTACATAACTTTTTCCAGTCTTCTCTTAAGTTCCAGATAGATTTAGCTTTTAGTTTGGATGCTAAAATAATTTTTTTTCCACAAAGACAAAGCCTGGAATAATTTGCACTTAGAAGATGCAGTACTTTGCAGTGGAAAGATGCCTCTTATTAACTGTATGAACTTGTGCAACCTAATTAACCCTCAAAGTCAGAGATTCTTTCTTCCCTTATCTCTACATGATGAGGAGCAATTTATTAGGATTTAATATGTATATAAAGCCAAGTGCTCCCAGTACATTAGTGTTATAATGAAGGGAATTTAGAAATGGGTATGACAGCCCTTTTCCACAAGTTTGTAAGTAAGGGACTGGGAAACAGTACAGAAGTTAAGCATACAATGGGCCAGGGTTAATTCATGGCACCACATGGTTCCTTGAGCATCTGTAGATGTTGCCCCTAGAGGCCATCGACATCAAATGGATGGAGTAGGTACCCTCAGCTCTGAAGCAGCACATCCTCAGTCCTTTGCATTGAACTCCAGCCAACCAGTGAGGCCAGGGAGCACTGCTTGTGAGTCCCCTTCCCCAAAAGAAGTCTGCTAGCTAATAGAAGACAAAAATAAATATTTCAATAACACAAAGTGGAAAGAAAACATGAGTAAAAAGGGGAACATGAGATATGAGAACACAATGAGGAGAAAGAAATAATTTCCCAGAAACCAAGTCAAGCCTACCTTGCAACAAGAATTCAGAGAATACTTATGGAATTAGTGGATGAATATCAGATTTTGGGGAATGACTATTTGGAAAGCCTCTATTGGATAGAAACCTAAATCACTACTAAAATGTAAAGAAAGATAGACATATAGACATACGAAGTGGTTTGGAGTTAATATAATTGTTATTATTATTATTTTTATTATTATTATAGAGTGGCTTTATGGTAATGTAAACTGTTCTATCAGATGTCATCTGGGAACTCCTAAATACCCAAATCTAAAATCAATCTTTGTCCAGTCTGGCCTATCCATGACACATTTTCTTGTACTTATCTTTCTCTCTGACTTCCTTGCTTTTCTTTTTTCTAATTGCCCTTTCACCACTTGAGACTCCTTAATTGGTCATCTTCCACGTCTTTAAATTTTATGACACAAGGTAGAAGATTTCATATCTTCATTTTTTGAGCTGTACTTCTTCTGGAAAGTGTAATCTACTTCCAGAAGATCACATATGAATCATCATTTTACTGTTACTGAAACAACAACACTAGCCATTATTGTCTCTTAAATTTCCCCAAGTTTACTTGTTACATTCTCAGCCATTAAATAATAAACAAATTTTTGAATGCTATAGTCAATTCCCTTCAATGCCAATTTGAGACATTGCTCCTTCCTCAGTCTTCCCTACTCCATCAGGCATAATTAATCAGTTCTATGTATAATTTTTCAGTAAACCTATCTCTTATTTAATTCCATTTTATTTTATAACTAACTGCTACTGAATCTATACTTTTATCTAAATTACAATTTCCTGGAGGGCAAAAGTGGCATTTTTAACCTTTAAATAAATGAGTTAAAAGACTAGTATTTGACTTTGAATTCAACAGAGGAGCAACAGATTCTTAATAATATATTATTAAATAATACATGTTCCAATATATCTAGAGTGGCTCAAGTACATCTGCTCTAAATTAAATGCAAGGAATCAAGTCCTATACAGTATTATATCTAAAAGCAATTTAAACACATCAGATTCCCACACACCTCCTTTCCATGCAAACCTGAATCTTTCACTTACATAATTTATCTAGATTGGTAAACTCTGGCTCTACATCTCTACAGATATAAATGAGTGTGAAACCACAAATGAATGCCGGGAAGATGAAATGTGTTGGAATTATCATGGTGGCTTTCGTTGTTACCCACGAAATCCTTGTCAAGATCCTTACGTTCTAACATCAGAAAAGTAAGAAAAATCAGAACTTTTGAAAGTGAGAGACTTCTGATTTTACCAAACTACACTAGTGAATGCTTTTGTTTGTCTTTGTAGCCGATGTGTTTGCCCAGTCTCAAATACAGTGTGTCGAGAACTTCCCCAGTCGATAGTTTACAAATACATGAGCATTCGATCTGAGAGGTCTGTGCCATCTGACATTTTCCAGATACAGGCCACAACCATTTATGCCAATACAATCAACACTTTTCGGATTAAATCTGGAAATGAAAATGGAGAATTCTACTTAAGAGTAAGTATTCTTAGAGCAGGCTTAACTGTGGACAAAGAGTAAGTATTCTGATAAGAGCTGACTTAACTGTGGACAAATGTACTAGTTTGTTATTGCTATTGTTGTTTGATCATATTCATATAGAAGAAAAGCAAATTAATCCCAGCATCTCTCACTCGCCAAGAAATAACAAATTTCACAAAATAATATTCAAATAAAGAGTTTATGTGTAGGCATTGTATTAGAGCATTCTGTGTACATCATCTTGTTTAACATTCTTGGAAACAGACATTATTCTTTATCTCAGTATTACATAAGTGTGAAATTCAAATTAATTGGGTTTTCTAAAGTGACACAGATACCAAGTAGTAAATTCTACTGGATTGTTACATAATCTCCAAGACACAAGCATGCACACACACACATAGACACACACACACACACACACACACACACACACACACCCCAAACTTCTACCACAAGTAGATGAGAGTTAAGTATACATAAAAAAGTAAATTCTGAAAAGGATTTATTTTCAAAAACATTGAATTTCATATTATTACATTCATAAATTATTTACATTTATACCAAAGCAGAAACCTGGAAGTCTCTGAGAAATGGTCCCCAGGACCCTATACCATGTGTCAAAAATGGTACTATTCTTGTCAACTTCCAGGTAAACAATGTGAAGTAACCTTTGTCTTTTATCTTTCTTTCAGTGCCTATGTAAAATATTGCTGTGAAGTCCACCATTTCTTTCCTCACAATGCCTCCTATTTTATTTTTTGTTTTCAAATCCCTCTGGCCTTTCTTTAAACTGGCTCCTAGAACTCTCCTAATCCTTCCATGGATTTCCAAAGAGATCTCCTTCACTTCAATGCTTCAACCTTCCAGTTACCACTGCAATATCTCAGCAAGTTCATTTTAGGTTAAAATCTGACATATTTTAAACAGGGCTAACCACTTCATGTGAAAGTTATGGCATCCAACCAAACAGTTTGCAGGATTACGGTAACTGTTTCACACTAAGGATGTTATTCATCTAGTTACAATTCTCTCAAAACTCCTTGGGGAAATCTTCATTTTGAATCAAATTTTGAAGTCAATTTTTTATTTTGAGTATGTGCAGAGTAAATTGGGAAATTCATTCTTGTGGTAAAGTTTACAGATTTTTAATGTTTACACAATTATTCTGCTCTTTGATATTTAAATTTCTTCCAGCTCCAGAAATATGTGATTATCTTTCCTTGCCAATAAATTAGAAATATTTAATTTTTCATGACCAATTACAGAAAGAAAAAATTCAGCCTAAAACACAATTACTATCCTTTTTTTCGAATAGCTAAGAACATTTAAAAATATTTTATGCTTTAAATTTAAGATAGATTAGATACTTTGTTTCCTCTAAATGAATTTTACACAACTCAGATAATACCAATTTAATTATTCTAGCCCAAACAAATAACATTATTTTCTACCCTTAACAATAAAATAAATTTCTCAAACTCTAAAAATGCCTTTCTATTTTGAACTTAGTGACAATTCAAGAAAGTAAAATTTTCTAGAAGAATCAACAATCAATATTTCAACCTGTCTTTTCATTGTAATAAAAGTTTTATGGTTCATATAAGTACATTCACTGACTTGATATTTCCAAATACAAATGCCATGGTATTTGTTCAAGTAAAATCTCTTTTTTTCTCATGAATGTTATAAATCAACCTTTATAATACCAAAGTTAAATAATTTGAAACAAATCCATTTAAAGTAAAAAAAAGACATTTTTTTTCTTCATTTTTTATTTTATTTTATTTTCTTAAATTTTTATTAGTGAAACACCATGAGGTACAATTGTAGACTTATAAATTTTTCTGCTTGGGTTTCAGTTATACAATGATCAAGTACCCATCCCTCCACCAGTGCCCATTCTCCATCAATGAACCCAGTAGCCCTCCCACCCCCTATCCCCTCATTCCACCTTACATCTGTGGCAGGGCATTCAATTTTGTTATCTCTCTCCTTTTGAATGCTGTGGTTTGCAAAAGAGACATTAAGTGGAAATCTTGTTTGGTCTATAGTCTACTATCATCACGCATTTCCCATCCTGAGAAGAACCTCCCAACACCCTTTATTTGGTACTCCCTTCTCTATCTGAGTTGCCTTTTCCCCCTAGCATGTGCGGATGTCCTCCTAGCCATGGAGTAATCCTCCTGGTACTTATCTCGGCTATTCTTGGGTGTTAGTCTCCTATTTTGTTACTTTATGTTCCCCAGATGAATGCAATCTTTCTATGTCTGTCCCTTTCTTTCTGACTCATTTCGCTTAGCATGGTACTTTCCATGTAGTACCACTTGTATATGAATTTCATTACTTCATCTGTAAAAAGACATTTTAAGATTATGTATTATCACATAATTTAAAAAGTAGCTGAATCAAGTACTGTAAAATACCTCCCCTGAAATTCCACTTGTACAGAGGGCATATCATGCATAAACTCTATGAACAAGCCTAATTAAGCACCTACTGTATACTTGGCTCCTTAATGAGTGTATGCAGTACACAGTTGCTTATTTCAAGGAGTGTTAAGATATGAAAACAACCCGATGCCCAATTACAAATAAATGGATTGAGAGTTTATGGTTTTATATATACACAATGGAATACTATGCAGCTCTGAGAATAAACAAAATCATGCAATTTACAGCACCAGAGTTGGAACTCTGATACCATGCTGAGTGAAGTCAGTCAGAAGTAAAGTGACAGATACAGAATCATGTCTCCCATGTGTAGGATTTACAGATACATAGTGAGGTAGCAACAAAAGTCCAATGGCAGCACATTGGAAGAACTGATCCAGGCAATAGAGTGGGGAAGGAATAAAAAGGAGGGATGTTGGGGTCCTAGGTGAGGATAAATTAGTACACTAGTTATGGGTGTGGGGTTGAATTTTTCGCATGTGAGACCATTATTAATAGTATCAAAAGACCATAGACAAATAAAATTTTTAAATAAATATTAGTTGTAATAAGTAAATAATTGTAAATAAATAGCACATGAAATAAAAGATAGAATACCATCTTTATCCCACTCCTAATAGGCTATAGCTTCTATTACAAAGCCTTGATTTTCTTCATACTGTTTATCACCACTGTGCATAGTATTTGTTGGTCTATGTTGGTCGCTAGAGTATAAATGTAATGAAATAGAGACCAACTTTACCTATCTGTTCCTTCTTCTGCCCTCAGCATGTAGAACTGTACCTATGTGTAAGAGTTCTTCCAGCAATGTTTTTTAAATAAATGAGCTGATTCAATCAATACTTTCAAGGTATTAATATTACATACAACTATTGGATATAAGGGATAAGCACAATGCTAGGTCCTAGATACTTAGTAAGTTGACTTACTAAGTAAGTTGACTATACCAAGTCAATTCCTGCCCCTATAGAGCTTATTATCAAGAGTTCACAAGAATGCTTAGTGTTATAATTAAGCATTGGGACTTGCTCATCAGTACATTAAAAAGTCAGTCTAACCAAGATAGAAGTGTCTAGAAACTTCCTGGGAAATAAATTAATTTATACTCAAGGACAAATTATACAATAGCAAATGAAAGGTATACAAAACAGTTCAATTGGTCTAAAACTAAGTACTAGAAGTAAAGTGACTTAAAATGACACAATGCCTTACAGATCATATTAACAGTTTAAGTAAATAAGTTGCTATTACATTTTCATGTTGAAAACATACCTGGCTGGGGCTGAAGTGGTAGTACAATGGGTAAGGTGTTTGTCTTCACATAGCTGACCTGGATTTAATCAATCCCTGGTATCCTATATGGTCCTCTGAGCCCACCAGAGTGAATTTTGAGCTCCATCAGATGTGTCCCTAAAACTAAAACTAAAACATACCTGGCTAAGCTGTAGATGCTGGACTGGAGTAAGCAAGATGTAAATTAAATGGCTAGTAAGTGTTCAAGAGAGTGCTTACTTGGGTAATGGCGGTGGATAAGAAATAGTGGAAATATTTACAAAGCTATAGAAAAGAACTGCTTGATTTATAAGTAATTTTCTATGAGGAGGTGAAAGAGAAGGATAACCTCCAAATTGTGCAAATGAGATAGGGACAAAGGATATGTGAGGAAGAGAGAGTGAAGTATTCAATTTGAACATATTAGATCCTAGTTCTCATGAGACATCATATAAAAATAAGAAGCAAGTTAGCTATATAGGCTTGAAATTCAAAATCCATTTAAGTTACAGGTAGCTACATGCTAGTAAAAGTCATGGATATGAATGAGATCACTAAAGCAATATTACAGGGAATGATTTAGAACAAAGAGAAGAGCAAAGGTCCTGAGATAAAGGAAGGCTAGATTGTGGAGAATCTTTCTGTAATCTTATCTTGGCACTACCATGATTATTCAATATCTTATTTACAGTTCTTCAGCTATCATGTCCCCTATGACATTCATGCCACTTTGCCACAAATCTTATGGTCATACCCTGCCTTAGTTCTCGCATACAGCAATTCCACATAATAATAATATGTCTCCAGTGACCCTCTCAAGGACTGCCTCTTCCTCCCCTCTCTCTCACCCTGTCTGCTCTTCAACTTCTAAGTAATGCTAATCCCCTGATGCTCTTGTCTCTTTCAGTCGATCTGTTTGGTGGCCAATTTCTTTGTTTTGTCAAAACACTTCAAATTCCTGTTCATCGGGCCTACATCAGTTCTACAAATGATACCTATATAATCATACAAATTTACAAGTCGGCAATATCATAAGTATTTCACTTCATAGTTTTCTCTATGGTCAACAATCCTATGTCTTTTCCTTTTCTTTGGTTTATCCCCTGACTAAAAATATATCCACAGTCTTTTAGCCCTTATGCCCCTTCCTTTATTTTTTAAAATTGAATCACTGTGAGATACAGTTATAAAGTTTTCCTGATTGAGAGTCAGTCATACAATGATCAAACACCTATCCCTCCACCAGTGGGTATTTTCCACCACCAATGTCCC